CTTGTCGAACAGAACTGAACCCGGAGCTCGTCCGGTATGATTAAAATGTTACACAAAAGGCTCTGGAAACGGCATGAAGCTGGAATCGTATCATCGAGCTCAAGATGGGGGATACAATACCATTGAGAGGCAGAATTATGCTGCACTCCCGAAGTGGTGGTGACCATGACGGTGTCTCGATGGTCGATTGCCGCCTGCGGGTACTGGACCAGGATTACCCGAAGGAACAGGACCAGCACTCGCAAGAGCTGGCTGACCAGTTTCCTGTGAAGCGCCCTGCACCACTTGCTCTGACCGGGATGCGGCTGCAGGTGTCTCCACGCTCATGTCAACCGCGCGTGCCTTGGCAGCTTTGGTAGACTGCTTGGACATCAAAGCGCTGTAAGGAGTTGCACCCGGATAGAAAGATGTGGGAATGGTCGGGATCGGAATTGACTTGGTGCTGCCGAAATCAGTCGACAAATCCAAAGGCATCTTCGCCGCCGAATAACCTGACGGAGCACTGCTGACGGTGGTTGTGGCCACTGCATAAGAGGTGTGATGAGATCCTGACTTTAGGCAGAATCCAGAACCATAGGCACTTTGGCACGAGTACCACTGCTTGCTGCCGGTCTCGGTCCACATGGCAAAGTCTTCAATGAGGATGTTATAACAGGGCACTTTGTCAGGACAGATGATCTTGATGGGCCCGCGTTGTGCGCCGTTCGCCTCGGTTCCCTTCCAATTCTTGATCGTAATGTTGCTTAGTTCGACACCGTCTCCTGAGACGGCGCTCATGCTGCTCCAGTAGCTGTCGATGTCCAAGGAGTAAGCGTTGCCGTGACCTATGGCCGTTTTGAATCCTCGGTCAGCCCGCCTGTATGTTGAATGACAAAAGGAAAGTGCTTGCTGCTTACCGATGAAATTCTCGAGAACGACATTCGAAACAGTGCCACTGCCACCATTGCCCTTGATCATCATCATCTGGTTCGAGTTCCAGGTGTAGATGTTCTTGTAGGTGATGTCGCTGATATCCGTGTCTGTTCCAAAGGAGCCCATGCCGCAACCACCGCTCAGGTTACAGTAGATGTTCTCCACGAGGATGTTCTTTGCGGGACTCTAAATTTGCGTTAGCACCACACATACTAGAAGATTTATGTTCCAGTCATACCTTGACCGTTACACATTCGTCCTTGTTCGTCACCTCGACCTATTGATCAATCAGCCTTTGTGATCCAAAGTATCTTGATCGTATCGAGGAATGGAAGCCAATCCTCACATCATGAATCCAGATGTTGGTGCTCCACACATCGAGACCATCCAGTCCGCCATGGTTGCCACCACGGATTGCCATATTATAGACCTCCCCATTGGAGCAAGTGTCGATAGAGAAGTGAAAGGAGGGCGAATCGACGAGAATCAAGTCATGAACCGAGAAGTCCGAGACATCCCACAGTCGAAGTAGACGAGGCCCACTCCAGTTGTTGTCGGCGTGCAACTCATACCCCAGGCCCTGCATAGCACCCGACGACGTACTGCTGTAGAGCTCAAAGTCGCTGGTATGCTCAATCATGATCATGTTGCCGGCATCCGTGCCGGTCCGGTAGATGACTCCGTCAATCTGCAGCGCCCATGCTTTACCATTTGCCAGCTTGACCCAGGTGGACATGGCATAGTTCCCGGCGGGGATGTACACCAGCCCACCCGACTTACAGGCCGCAAATGCCGCCGCGAGAGGGGGTCCCAGATCGGTCTTCTTGTCTGCTTTTGCTCCATAGTCGAGCACATTGCATGTCTTCTTGGCCGCCTTTGCTGACGCTGAGGTCAGGGGTCCGACAGAGCCGGAGAGTGATGCAGCAACAAAGCTAGGTACCAGCCCTAGAAGGGAGAGCAAAGTAAAGGCGTGAAGACGCATTGTCGCTCAGAGCTTCTCAAAAGCAAAAATGAAAGGAATGTGAGGGCATAAGTGGCAACCCAAGCCCTGAAGAGCATCTCGGGAGTGCTAAACTACATTTATAGAGCCGACATTGTCTGAAACTCGACTCCAGGTCGGCGCTTCACTGGACTACGCCTCCTGAGTAATCTCCACATCTATAAGGTGAAACTCAGGGGACGGGTGGATATATGGGGATTCGTAGCTTGCCGTGGTTTTGTGTAGCGAATAGATTCCTCCAAATTATTCTTCTGGAAGGCTTCTCACTCTCGATAGTTTCTCCACCGATCAATCAGCGAAGCTTAGGTCTAGACGGAATACCTCCGAATGGGCTGACGCGCGTACCAATGCAACGAAGGGACACACAGGTAGAAAGCAGGAGGTGACTAGAAACGACGGCAGAGGATGGTGCCTTAGGCAAACTCGCTGATCAGTTGCGACACTCATTTAATTCTTGTTCTGTTGTGTATCTTGTTGCGTTATCGACGTTTCCTACGTACGTGGCTTTGCGTTGCTTAATATCTTTGTCATTCTGCGAGTTCTGCTTGGGGTTGAGGGACTACGGCGTTCCCGGGGCATATTCTTGTTCCAGAGGGTGGAGCATCTGCATAGTGAAACAGCCGTTCAACGGAATTGAATTGTTGGTGTTCTCTAGGAGGACGTGTGCTTGAACGTCCAAATTCTGATTTCTTGTGGTCGGCGGGTTGACCCCTTTCGAGCGGGTTTTTGCGACATTATGGCCAAGAACGTCAAAAAATGCCGTAAACCTAAGATGGCAGTAACGAGACAGTATGGCGTAGCGGCTCCCAAAAATATAGGTGGTTTTTTCTTTTTGAAATGGTGAGAGTGGGGTTCGTCAAGTGAAGTTTTTTAAACTGTACAGCCTATATAAACCGTACAGTTATAGTGCTGTGCAGCATCCAAGTCACTCGCCTTAACCACTCGGCCATCTCACCTCTTTCATTTTTGAGACATAATAGGTTCATTTCATCCGATTTTGTGACATACCCGGACAGCAGCACAAACCTATATAAATAAACTCCATCTGTTAAATAACTATATCTGCAGTTAACCAGCCAGCAGGAATCTCGCTATTAAAGATCATACTCTCTGGCAAAGCAATCAGCCGGCGAGGTTTTGCGGGATAACTGGTAGATTGGCGTAGACGTCTTGTATATTTGAGACACGGAAATAAAAGGATGGCTGTCAGTAGCCATGAGGCTGACAAGATCCGATTATTGACAATCTACTTTTAGAATAGAGCTATCAAGCATAGGTATGAGCACCATGTTCCGATGAAAGTGATGAGAAGAAAGAGAAGAACAAGAAAGAGACAAAGGCAGCTGGATTGACAAGCAGTGAATAGCGAAAGGGAGGGTGAACATGATATTCACTGCTTGATCCGGAAATCTCCGTATCTCTACAAAATAGTGAAGGTTGACGCGGTGCACCCGCTGGATTCATTAAAGTGGATGAAAGAGGATTGTCTGGGCTATGTGACTGAATCTGCTCATTCTGAGAAAGACACACTGGGCTCGTGAGGTTTCTTGTCCGCCTCATTATATATGTATGGACTGGTCTAAAGCATAGTCCTCTTCCCATATCTTTAGACCTGAGCCGCAAGCCAAGCAAATGCAGTATGGCCTTCTGCGGCGAGCTAACCCCTCGTCGCAATAAGAAGATTGGCGCAAATAGGGTCCCATTCAAAGGGAATCCGCAGCTTGCCTGATAAGAAAAGAGGACGAGGAAAAAAGGTTTGTCAAACATTCCCTGCTCAGCTCTTTGATTACCTGCAACAAAGGACTAACGGCCAGAAGGAAGAAACGGTCTATTATAAGTACTCTCCAATACCTTGCGGAGACCAAGAAGAGCAGAAGCATGGCTGCATACGGATACACTGTTTCAGGCATGCGGACTGCGACCTCTATTAGCAGGGGACGATGTTAGAAAGGTAGGTCGAAATCAAATCGATCTCGGTTGTTGAAGATTGCTAAATGCTTCTAGGGCGGGGACAGGGCACATATACAGTGCCGTTGCCCCCTCCAAAGAAGAAACGCGGTTTCGTAACAGCACTGCCTATGTGCAACGGCACGTATAAATAGTTCCGCGACATGGGAACCTCCCTAAACACATACATGGAGGTATTCATCTGCCATTGAGAACCCTTGATGAACGCTTTGACGTCCCTAGCCCAAAACAGGCGGAACTGTCGCAGCACTCGCCGAGTTGCAACCGTCCTTGACCAGATACCATTTCCTCCACTTTCTGGGCGCTCATACCAGTGTGATCTCTAGGAAGTCTGGAATCAATAATCTGTGTTACAAGACGGACTTCTGTGAACAATTTTCATTGTTGATGATGACGGAAATGACGGCAGGGCATGTACATGTAGGCTAACCAGGAGGGAAATATCCGATTTACTGACATATACAGGACAAAGAGACAGACATTAAGATATTTGGTCAACATGCCACTGAGTCAATCTTCTTCCACGAGTTTTCCGGATGGGAGTCACTAAGGTGGTTTCCATCACCATCAAAACGGATTACTCTACAGCCATTGCCCAATATTTAAAGGGCAAAGGTTTTGAGATTGTGCTTGTTACAGGGCGGTCTCCTGCAATGACATTTCAGATGGAGACAGTAACTATTTTCGTGAGTGTTTCCGTCCACACGGTGCTTCTTGTCGACGCTGCTAACATATACGTAGACTGATGAGGTCCATCGCTTCTGTAACCCGTCTACGCGCGTGGTGGCTTTCACACTGCACTGCCGCGCCTGCCCCGAGAACAATGAGTCTTCGCGGGCGACAGGGCGAATGACTATCCCGAGGATGGCCAGGAGAATGAGTAATGGCTCCTATGCGCTGCCCTGTCCCCTGAGGCACTGTATTGCCAGGTATTCAAGATGCCCCGTCCAGTTGTGAACTACCATAACGATCTGTCACGCCCCTCCAGAGGCTCAGGCTCACTCGTCGCCCTTCTCTTGCTTCGACCAACAGCGTCTCAATTGGTCAAGCCATGCTGCCTCGCACCCTGCTCATCACTCTGTTGAAACGTACCGGCCACTAGCACGATCACAGCACGCCCATGTACAACCGCGCCTTTGACCTCTGCGATTACTTAGCCATTCTGTTCCCAGCAATTTGCCGCGCCGCCCTGAGACCTGGGTCAGGTGATAATGACGCCGATGTGGACTGGTTTGCTGAGTACCAACGTCTTCCAGGCCAGGCTACGCTCCCCGACCCCCCGCCGTACCTTGGAATCCTTGCTCTTATCGACCAGCTAAAACGCTGCATTTACGAAGCCAATGCCATTGCTCTATTCGCTGCCTTCGGTCTACCTTATAATGCAAACATGACTCATCTAGCTGCCCTGATATGATCTCTCTGGAGACTTTCCATGATGGGGGCAAGTGCGCTCTCCTGATGAACAGTCTACGGATTCAACCAGTCGCCTGTGTAGTGGTACAACCTCATGCATCCTACTTTCAATTTACAGAAGTTTTGGACTGCCAGCTGCACCGTCTGATGGGCACGACGCAATGTCGTGCTGGCAACAAATTAGTGCGCTACTGCAGCTTACCTGCTGGGCGCCGTCACCAACTCGCACGCGATGTCGTGTTTACAGGAGAAGCCCTCGAAAATGCAGGACATCCAGCATTGAGCTGCCGAGAACTGGAGTTCCGACTCACCAGACCTTCCACGTACATTTTCTGGTGCTGGGGCAAGCACACAGTATCCAATGTGACATACACGGCTAGCTACTGCATGTACTGCAGATTGACTCTTATACATCTTATCTGCCTGCTCGATACCTCCATACGACTTCTACAATCTCAATTACGAAGCACGGCCTATGAAACATGCCACCGCAATTACAGCCGCTGATTCAATACCGAACCTCTGGGCAAAAGACCGAACTGAACCATGACGTTCTCGATGGCCAGCCAGTCTGTGCCACTGGCCTTGATATACCAGCGTCTCAGAGATTCTGCCTTGACTCAGTCAGCCCGACGTTGTTGCAGATATTGCCATTGTGTTGTTGCCCAGGTCATGCGGATTGCCCGTGCTACCTTTGGTCAGGAGCCAATGGCGACTGACATCCAAGTCATAGCAGAGGATCTTCAATGGGAGGCTGAGATAAATACCTAGTGGTCATTCGGGGTGTGGAACGCCTCTCGATCTATGTATACTGCACTTTGCAGCGCCAGTAGTGAATATCTAGAGGAGGAAGGGGATTCATATACCTAAAATTTAGACCTTAAGGTCCTGTCTCCTGTAGACGGAACCAGGCTGAACAACAGAAGGCCTGGGTCTTATTCCAGGAACACTCAATCTCCCGGTGGATAGAATGCAACAATACGGCGAAGGTCCTCACGCAACTGGCGGCGCAGCTATACGACCTAATCAACATGGCCCCATAAGGCTGGAAGGGCAGAAGCAGGGATTGATCTCGACGTCAGGGACTGTGGCCCATTACCTTGCAATTCTTTTCATTCCAACGAAATACATAGTACCCTACATGGCGAGAACATGGTCACTACATCAATAGACGTCTACACATTGGCTCCACGGTATATCGACAAATTCTCTATGTACACTATGCTATCTTTTCATCTATCATAGAAATTTACTCACCGGCCTGCCGGTTACGACGCAGGGCTGGGAGGCAGCTCCCCGGTGAACCAGTCACTCGGGCTCTCTCCCAGCTCAAACTCGAGCGTCCCTCCATTCTCAAAGACATCACTCCATGTCAGCCAATTCTTCCGCCACTGTTTCCCATTAACCTTGAGACTCTGCACATAAATCTTGCTGTCACCGTTGCCATCACTGCCGGTTGCAGTGACACGCAGTTTCTTCCCACCACCGAGATCGATAACCAGAGACTCAAACCACGGCGAGTGGATGAGGAAGGTCGTCTGCCCCGTAACCGGATACAGCCCGATCATGTTCCAGAGCAGCCAAGTCTGCATAGCCCCAGCGTCGCTATTACCGGGTAGCCCTGCGACGCCCGTATTGAAATACTTCTTGGCGACCTTGCGGGACTGCGCGACGGAGAGATCCTGGCGGTTCACGTAGTTGTATAGGTATGGGATGTTGAACATACTAGCTTGTCAGCAACCTTTTACCCTGGAGCAGAAGCAGAAGCAGAAGCAGAAGCAGAAGACGATGACTTACGGCTCATTCGATGGATCAAAGATCATCCCACTGGACCCGCTCGCTCCCTCCGCGAACATGGTATTCAGCCGATCGACAACCGTTTTCTCGCCTCCCATCCGCCCAACCGTCTCCTTCATATCGTGCACGCTCGCCCACGAGTACGCCCACGAACTCGCCTCGTAGTACGGATCCCCCCAGTACCCGCTGTCCGCCAGGGGATCCGTCTCCAGAAACCCGGTCGTGTCACGAGGCACCACAAACCCCGAGAATCCCAGCGACGTCTGCTCTGGATTCCAGTGGTTGCGCCAGTTCCGCGAGCGGTTGAGATACTTCTCCGCGTCGGCTTGCTTCTTTAGTCCTGATGCGACTTGGTACACCCCGAAGTCGTTACAGGCGTACTCGACCGCGCGCGTCACGGCGCGGGTGTACTTTGGCGTGATGAACCCCAGGCTGATCCAGTCGGGGAGTGCGCCGCGGCCTTCTTTTGTGGAGGAGTCGGGGGCCATGGGGTCGATGGGGTCGTTGGGGGGCGCGACCTCGGCGTCTTTCACTAGGGCTTTGTACCCGTCTTCCCAGTTGACGGAGCCGCGGACGCCCTTGACGTAGGCGTCGGCGAGGATGTTGTCAGCGTTGGAGCCGCCCTGGGTGCGGCCGTTGTAGTTGGAGGAGCGGGCGTCGGGGAGGTAGCCTTCGAAGCGCCAGATGTCGATTAGGGAGCGGATTTGCTCTTCGTAGGCGGTGGGTTGGAGGACTTGCATGAGGGCTGTGGAGCAGCGGAAGAGGTCCTACTTCATTAGTTTGGTGTTGCATGTAAGGAATGGGAAGGAATACCCAGTATGTGAAGATGTCTTGGTAGTAGGGCTCTGAGGACGTCCAGCTGGGGTTCTCGCCTGTCTGGTTGGTGGGGATGAGGTGCATAAAGTACAGCGAGGTGTAGAGCAGCTCGAGGCTGGTGGCGTTGGTGTTGGCGGTGGTCACCTTGGACAAGACGGTGGTGTTCCACTCGGCCTTGGTGTCTTCAACAACAGAGGTGAACTCTGTCCCGTGGGGAATCTCATCCTGGACATGCTTGCAGGCTTTCTGCGTGGAGATCCAGGATATCCCAACGCGAGACGTCACCACGTCGTCCTGAAACGTGAACAGTCCTCCGACACGAGTCGACCCCGAGGTCGAGGACGCAAAGCCGCTCCCCTGCTTGACACTGCCCTGCGCATCCGTCCCAATATACGTCGCGTTGCTGACCGGCTCAGCATCAAAGTAACCACCTGCAATGCAACCATTAGCAAGCATCCAAGCAACCCGTCAAACACGCAACTAACAAAAGTAAATAGCCCAATCCGGCGACCGATTCCACCCATTATCATACACCCCATGGCCCTCATAATGCCCATCGGCAAAAATTGTCAAATTCCCGCCCTTGTACCCCTGTCCAAGCCCCTGCCCCCGAAACGACGGCAGAACATGGGACACATCCACAAGGACATTCCCCGTCTTCCCAGCCGGGAACGTATACCGATACATGCCCGCCCGCGCGGACGCAGCCAGTTCAACAGTCACACCATCCGCCGTGCGCGCGCGGTAGTGTCCCACCTCTGCCTCGTCGGCTCCCGCGCGCGCCACCGTCTTATTCGACAGCGGATCGCGCACCTCGCCGACGAGCGGTAACTGCGCGACAGTCCCGTACTTGGGGGCCCCGCCGGTGCCTTGCTCGTGCATCATGCTGAAGCCTGAGAAGGCGCCGGTGGGCAGGTAGCCCGAGTAGGCGTCTGTGCCGGGGTTGAGCAGGTCCGGGCCGAGCTTGACCATGCCGAATGGGCGGGCGACGCCGGGGAAGTTGTTCCCGCCATTTTGGGTGCCGGTGCTGTGGCTGCATTAGCATCTGCCGCGAATTTCTGGCGGCGGCAGCTTACAAGAGGTTAACGTGGGATGTGAGGTCGGTGGCTTTGACGGCGGGATGTAACAGGGTTACGACTAGGAGGACGCTCAGGCAGGGCATGGTCAGTAAGGCCGCTACTATTGCAGATAGGATATGTGAGCGAAGACGAGGCCTGGCGGGGGGAGAGTCAGTATTGCTTTTCATGAATACAATGGGTGTAGTCTTGCCTCTGTGTCCGTCCGTTGGCGTCTCTGGTATAAATCTACGAACAGTCTACTCAAGGGAACGGATGGTCTACCACACGACCATGGATCATGGTTCTAAACATATAAGCAAGCCAAACGAGTGACCGGGTTCCCCTCAATTGCTGGCGGAGTAAACCGCTGCAGGGATAAACCACGACAACAGTAAGCAATGAATGAATGGACGGATGGTGGACATCCAAAGAAAAGATGTGTTAGGCGACCAGTGGAGGCATGAGGACTCGACACATGCGACAGGTTGTCAGCACTAGACGCGAGACTAGAAAAGTAAACTGGCAGGCTGCAGGGTTTAGACTCCTTTTAGGCTCCATCCTGAGTCCCTAGACCCTTGACTAGACCAGAAAATAGATAGACTAGAAGTAAGGGATCGACGTGAATTCTTGACTGACTACCTATCATTTGGCAATCAATATATGACCAATCACAATACACATTCCTCAATAGTGCATCTGATCAATATACCAGGGCTCATCTGCTCATACTTGAAGATGACTGCAAAGAATGCAGCATTTCTTCAGTCACTATCACGATTTTACCCCTGAGTCCGACACATGGCCAACCGAACCATGGATATAAACATCAGCCAATCCAGTCACAAGGCTGGGAGGCGCACATGCGGGTGTCCAGAAAATCAGCTACTGCAGTACCTAGACTAAGCCCTAAGTTGTACCAGGGGCACAACCAGAGCAAATGATCCGCCCACATGCTAGGCAACCATTCTCCTGATTGGTTGTGCAATAAAATCCACCTAATCAGGCAAGAAAAGCAGATCCGCAGATATCAGCTCGCCGGGCTAGCTCAATCGGTAGAGCGTGAGACTCTTAATCTCAAGGTTGCGGGTTCGACCCCCGCGTTCGGCTTCTTTTTTTATTTCTTTTATTCATGGTCTGTCTATTCAACTGTCTGTATTTGGAATTGTATCAGTTTTTTGTCTTTTGAGCAATTAACCACACAGTCTTAGTTTTTTGTATGATGCCCTGGCCATCCAAGCTACCACTGACTGGAATCAGCGGTTGAAGCAAAGATGCCAAGGTCGTTTGTTGTATGTAAAACAAGTCGGAATCAATGCTTTTAGACGTCTTC